CCTACCCCAGTTACCACTACTGTGCATGTGTGTCAAGGACAGAAAGGCAGATGTGGCAGTGGAAGGTGTCAAAGCAGTTTGGAGAGAAAAACAAAGAACAAAAAAAAAGAGAAAACGATTAATCGATTATTAAATTAGTCATCGATTATTTTAATAATCATTTAGTTGTCGATTAATCGATTAATCGTAGCAGCCCTACCAAGATCCTCACCTGGCTCTCACCTACCTTCTTCCCCTCCTTGTGGATCTGGAACTAAGAACCTCTGTCCCTGTAGATGAAGATCACTTACCTTTTACGTTCTGTCTCCTGTGTCTGTTTACTTCCCGGTGCCCAGCTTTGACATTTCCTGTAAACGTGATATTTTGCAGCTAAGCTGAAGTTCAAAATCAGGCTTTCAAATCAGCTTCTTCAAAGCTAAGAAACTTCTAAAAATACAGGATCGTGACCCTCTCATCAGGACCTCATTTTGAACTCCACTGTTGTCAAAGGTTAATGTCAGGTGCATCATTTCCAACTAACAGAATTTACTAATCAGCAGCAACATTAAAACGTGTGCAAATGGAGTGTTTAAAGTTTAATTAAATTTCTCAGACAAAAAAGGATAAATTACCTATTGAATCAATTTTAAAAATGTCTAATATACACACATAAATGATTGTGAAAATGTTTTATGTATTGAAGAAGGTAAACATTTGAACTTTGTCATGTAATTTAACATGGCCCATAACATGTATGGTCCGATTCAGGATATACATTATATCGTCTGTCGTAGTAAACCTGTAAGTAGCATCGTGTTCACAACGTTTCGATGGTCAGACTTTATCTATGGTTCGCTGTAATGAGGCCTATAGTGCTGACTTCCTCTCTTTTCTCAGTATCCAGATTATTAAAAATCTTCACAATTACACGTACATGAATAAAAATCAAAGTGAATTTAGCCAACTCAGCTCTAAGAGAACCACCATTTAATGTTTTAGGACAAATACTGTCACTTTTCCCCAGCATCCACTCTGACTTAAAATGGGTAAACAAATGTTTTGGAGATATAAAAGTTATGTGATTTTTAAGCTTCTCTGATGAACAATGTAACACGTGTTAAATTATTTGATATCAAAAATCCTTTTCTAAGTCCTCTTGACCAAAAGAGCTATAAAACATCTTAAAGTATTGTGACTTGTCAGAAGCAAATGTTTGTAAATAAATGTTTTCATAATCCATCTTATGTTTAACCTATGAGTTGATTCTATAAGATTTGCTTTCAGCTTCTTAAAAGAAACCACCTGTTGCTGCTACCCCACATGTAGGAGGATGTCTCCTCCCTCTTGTGCGTCAGACGCTGACCCTCAGCTGTCAGCTAAATCAGGAGTGGTGTAAAAGCAGCCTGCAGGAATTTCACAAGTTATCTTTATGCCCAAGGATACAATGCAATGCCAGCCATGAAGAACGAGGGGAGAAGTAGGGGGACATCTTTATCAGCTGTTAGCTTACTGTTGGCATTTCTGCGTCACTGAAACAAAATCAGATAAAATGCTAAATTACATCGCTGTTGCTTTGTTTTTATTGTCTTTTGTTTTACTGCACCAAATATTTCACTTATCCACAACTATCATTGCAAACTCTTTAAATCTACCATCGTCATATTTTATCTGAAAATTATTTACAATTACTAAATGCATTAAAGGAGACATATCATGCTTTAAAACCCTTCTTTTTCACACAGTTGGGAGTCTATATAAAGTGGAACTGCAATGCTTTGGTCTGAATTCCGCCTATAATGTAACTCCACAAGCCCCTCCTTTTCTGAGGTGTCTCAGAACAACTCGTTTTGATACTGTCTCTTTAATTCCAATGATACACCTCACACAAWWAATGTTCTTTTTGCAGCACCGCGAAAAACTTAAATCAAAAATGTTCTGCTGGAGTCTCTAAGTACACAACAGAACACATTTAATGGCTAAAAAAGGGATTTTGCATGATATGTCCCCTTAATGGAAATTTGACTGAACGAAAAAGGGCTACTCACAAAATCATGTTGAATGCGAATGTGTGAACATAATTTTCTGTCTTTAGAATACTCTAGTCCAACATCCAAAACATGCTATCTATCTACACTCACCGGCCACTTTATTAGG